GTGTGAAGCACAGACAACTGTGGAACACTGGAAGGCAGAGGTAGAACCAAACACCAGAGGTAGAAACATAGTAGTACTAGATTAGTAGAGAGAAACAAAGCCTGGACACAAGCTGAAGGTCATCAACAGGCAGCCGGCAAAGTACTGATTTAGAAGGCAGAGACAGTGACAGAATACAGGCCAAGGTCAGCAACAGTCAGACAGCAAGGTATAGGAACATAAGGCAGAGGCAGTGGTAGGGTATGGGCCGAGGTCAGGATACAGCCCAAGGTCAGAAACAGTCAGACAGTAAGGTATAGGAACATAAGGCAGAGGCAGTGTCAGGATACAGCCCAAGATCAGTTAACAGCCATGCAGCGAGGTACCGAATCAGAATGCAGAATACAGTCCAAAACACAGGCAAAGGTCAACAAAAGCAAACAAGAATCCAGAGACAGGTCAAAGGCATGTTGGCCATACCCAGGAAGGCAAACAAAGCAGGTAAGGTCACAAGTAAATCAACCTCCCTTTCAGCTTCTAGTACCTGAAAGCATGTTACACTACAAGAACAAAGCAATGCAATATACCCTGACTGGCCAAGTACCAATATTCTAAAATCACTCGAAAACACCATTCCAAAACATTATTCAGATTAATATTATTACAATTTTTAGATAACTATCAAAAGGATGCATCTGCTATACAACTTTTTAACTTGTTGTAGTAGGTTATTCTATACAGTATATACCACATGTCGGTTCTAATTTGTGTCTTCTCTTATAAATTAGTTTTGCTTGTAAGCATATCCTGAGAAAATAAATTAAACCAATTATAAAATAGTTCTAACAACTACAAATTAATTAATTCCCGAAGACTCCAAACTGTATGTGGTAGATAAATAGGGTTCAGAAATTGAGAGAGATGAGTCATAAATAATATGACTCATATATATAATAATTGCCAAGCCTGATCCAACAGGAAAGCGTATACCACCTTTTGTGGATGGTACAGTATACTTAATTTAGTCATACTATGTTACATGATATAGTATAGACAAATGACACAGTGTAATGAAAAATTATGTACAACCAAGCCCAGAAAATATTGTGAAGCATTGCCTCTTTGTACTAGGAAGATGTTGCAACCAAGAAACATTCAACAAATATAAGTTGAATAGGATGCTCATGGAAAGCCAGGTAGCTGCAAACATTGCTTCACGAGGGAGAAGGTTATAACAGTACTTAAAGTGATATTAAGCCTTTAGTGCTTGTAGGCACTGATTGAATCACTTATTGAGTATGTGGCACCTTTATGTTTTAATCCTTACCAGGGGTGTCCCTAGGGTTGGTGTCACCCGCTGCAATAACACTTGATGACACCCCCTTTGATGATCCCCGCAGAATGGATCAGATCTGAGGATTGAGCATAATGGATCGGACTCTGATCCATTATGTTCCCCAATCTGCACATCTGATCAATCCTGCGGGGATCGTCAAAGGGGGTGTCATCAAGTGTTATCGCACCGGGTGACACCAACCCCAGGGACGTCTCCAATCCTGCAGGGATCGCCGGCATGCAACCTATATGGGATAACACCGTGAAAAGGTAAGTATTGTGATTGACAGCTGCGGGCGCAAATGACAGAGTGGGTAAACACAAAATCACTTATATATACATGATTTTGCACATCCCTGCCATCCTGTAGCAGTATATATGCTATAGGGCGGTCGGGAAGCGGTTAACATAGATCAATTGATTTGTTTTATAAACAATATGACAACATTTACTATTCACAATAATACAGCAAAACAAGAGCACTGGCCCACAGCTTTGACTTCCTTTCAGAATTATTCTTATTATGCAAGATTTATATAGATCGAACAGCCTGCGCCAGCTATAGTTTTTTTGTTCTATATGCACATACTGAGTACTGCTGGTACTGCAAGTCTGTTGGCCAGCAAAGTCCCTGTTCAGAAGATTCCATCTCACTTTCTGTCCCTGTGACAATTGGATTTTAAATATTTTGGGTTGTTGTGGAAACAAGGATTGGTGATAACCCTTCAGTGAAGACACATTTTTCCCATGATAACTCTTACAGGGAGTGAATTTCCCTTCCTAGGGGTAGATTTCCTCTCACTTCTTGTTTCTCCCTCCATTCGTAAGTACGAGTCATTTGTATCTCGAATGTTCATAACTCAGGAAAGCCTGTACTCTATAGTTACTTTAAAGTTAGTGTGTAGGCAGATATAAAAGAGTGATGTATTTACTAAAATTAATTACATGTATGTTAAACAGTACCTCATGTAGTCTTCATAATAGTCTCCTGGGTTCGGACTGGAAGAGGAAGGGTCAGCACTGTAAACCAATTAAGTTAACTGGAGGAGATAGCACAGAGATGACATCATTATTACAATCAACTTAAAATCATTTTCTGCTTTAGGAGTACAGCTAAATGACATAATCACAAACCCAGTGGTTCCAGAAACTGAAACAAAATCTTTATTTGGTTATATTTATGGCTCTGCCATTTGAAACTATAGAAATGTTTTGTGTAAACTGACATTTTCTTTTTTGACCAAATGACACTGTAATGTAAGGCAATTCATACAGCATGACAATGGCCGTGTTCTGCTCAACTCTGTAGGAGATTGGCAATTTTAGTTAATATTTCCAATGTTAGTAATGCAGCACTTGTGTATATGATTCATCATATTTTATACTGAAAAGTATGTACCATGTAATGTTATTTTACTTCATAAAGTTGCTTTATGTGCAGTGTGTGCTTATTGCAAGGCTATATTTCATGTTACTGCTAATTTTTTTACCAAATCTTGGAACAACGGCTTTCTGAAAACAGTGGTTGTTAGGGTTTGTTTGTGTAGAAAGTGTATATTTTTGTTACCGTTTTATCACATATTTGTTACATTAACAGAAACAATAGGAGGTTTCTATTGGCAGAATGTTATCACACATGGGCATCAAATCTATATTTTGTAACTATTCTCTATATAAGGTCATATCATGTAAGTTCATGGGATAAAAGAACATGTGATGCAAAATAGAAATTATGTAAAAGAATCTAAAGCAAAGACAAACAGGCTAAGCAAATACATTTGTAGGTCAAGCTTAATCTCATGACTAGTTACATAATAAAAAAAAGATTGTGCCACCACTGTATGTCTGTCTTTTAAATTCAGCAAAGGTGACCCTTATAATGTTACTTCCTGCTAGTTTATTTATAATATTTGTTTTTTTGCTTTATATTTCTCATCTAGACCACCATCTTTTCTACTATAAACAATGTATCTTTATCTTATTGAGTATTGTATTAATCATGTCATTACCTATCTCCCAATAAACTGATATAGGAGTTAAACTATAATTATATTCTTTTTTATTTTGTATGTTACTTAGCATATATATAGATACACAGAATATAACTGGATACTAACATTTATAGGTAAAGTTGATCCAGGGAATATCCGATTGCCTCTTGGGGGATCAGGAAGGAATTTTTTTCCCAGCAGGAGCAATTTGGATCATGCTTTGCTGGGTTTTATTTTGCCTTCCTCTGGATCAACTGTGGGTATAGGATTATAACTTTTTTTTTTTAATGGTTGAACTGGATGAACTTTTGTATTTTTTCAGCCAGACTAACTATATATATATAATATAGGCATAAAAAACTCACTTTATACATACAAATCTTTAACTTATGTGAGACAGCAAAGTTTTAAAAAAAATGAAGCGTACCAACTTAATGGAAAGGTCAGCAAAGCAAATGCCTTTGTCCTTAGCTATGAAATCATCCAGTATCTGAAATGTAATATGGCAATATTTTTAATAGGATCTGTGTTAAAGTGGAGTTCCACTCACACTGTAAAAAATAAGTCAGCAGCTACAAAAACTGTAGCTGCTGACTTTTAAAAAACAACGACTCACCTGTCCCAAGATCCCACTGTGTCCTCCCCGCAGCCTGTTTCACCAGCCGTCTGGTGTTCTAGGTGGCGGCATCTTCAGTGTGGGTACCTGGCTGTGACAGCTTGTGGTTTTACAGCTGGATGCCCACTGCACATGTGCGAGTAGCGCTGCGCTTCCTGAATAGCCCCATAGTCTTCTGGGACCTGTCACATGTCCCAGAAGACTACAGGGAGGGAGGGTAGGAGGACAACTTCTGCTTCCGATCACCTAGGTGATCGCAGCGGAAGTGGGAGCGGGTACCTATCAATTTCGGGTACCCGCTCCTCAAAGGTGCCAGTCCTTAATGAGGAGCGGGGGACCAGTCTTTAAAGCGGATCTTCCCCTTTTGGGTGGAGGTCTGCTTTAAGGAAGATTAGAGTATTTTGGAACTCAGTAATAAGTATCAGCTTGTATAAGCAGCAAAGACCAAAGAGTTTTTAATGAGCAACTAAATATTGAATAGTTAGAATGATAGATGGTGCTCAGTGAATGACTGCATCTGTCCATCTTAATACAGGCCTACTAACACTAACTACTGGTCTTTAAAACACACACGTGGACTTACAAAAGTGTCCAGACTTCATCTTTTAGCCTCAACAAGTTCCATTTACTCTTTACCACCAGACCACCAGTCCACCAGAAAAACACTCAGACTATAGATGAGCTGCCTGTAGAAACAAAATTATAAAGAGACTGTGAAGATGCATATGAAAACCACAGGTCAAAATCTGTTAAACATAGGGTTGCCACCTCATCCCTTTAAAAACTCAGCACATATTAATTATACAGGTTCTGTGGCTGATTACAGTGGTAAGTACCCACTTTCCCGCTGCCCTATAGCAGATATACTGCTACAGGGCAGCAGGGGTGAGCAAAATCATCTATATATACGTGATTTCGCATCTCTGGGTAGGGGGTGCATGAGAGACGAGTGCGCGCCCTACCTGCGCCACTATTTGTGGCCTCATCTGTCAATCACTGGGTCTCGGACGGTGATCGAGCAGCATTACCGATGGAGGGAGAGAACTGTAAGTAAACAATACAGTTCTCTCCCCTGTCAGCTCCTGCATAGAGCCATGCAAAGCAGTGTGCTTACAGTGAAGCACAGACACACAGCACACAGTAAAACAGCACAAAGTTAATCCTTTGATCACCCCACATGTTAACCCCTTCCTACCCAGTGCCGTTAGTACAGTGTCAGTGCTTTTTATTGGCACTGATCACTGTATGGTGTCACTGGGGATGTCAATTGCACCAAAACAGTTCCCCCCAGTGTCAGAAGAATGCCCACCGCAGTACCGCAGTCCCGCTATATAGTGCTGATCACCTAGTAAAAATAAAAAATAAAATAAAAATCTTTCACATTAATAAATTAATAAAGTTATTTGTGATAGCCTGCTTGTTTGTTGTAAATAAGTAAAAGTTTACCTTGATCTCGGAAGCAGGCAGGCGCCATGATGGATGTGGTCCGCAGGTCTATATTTTCAGGAGTAGGTGCTGCTGGCTATCCTAGCATGCACCTCTCGATCTTGTGCCTGCGCAGTAATAACACTGCTCGGCGCAACTTGTGTACAACAGGTTGCCATAACAATGTCGGCGATGACGGAAGTCCCCGCCCTGTTGTTATGACAACCTGTCTATTTCTGGTTTTGAGTTCACAGGATATTTTGCAACTAGGAATCCCAAGGACTCCTGGGATACAGGACCTGACATCCCAGGAGACATTGCAAATCGCCTAGGCGGCTAGGACCGGAAGTGCAGTATTTCCACATTATTTACATGTATTTAGCAACTTAAAACATAATATATGAGTATCCTGATTGGAAAATACACCACATGAACAGTATTAACAGTGGAACATTAAAAAAAAAGGGTGGAACTCCACTTTAACTAAGAAAAGAAGTGGTGTGTTTATGTGTGTATGTGTGTATGCATGTGTGTGTTTACTTATTTTATGTCTAAGCTTTATGTCTTGTTCTTCACTTCTATATACTACCTCCCTAATTTTTTTTATTGAGTAATATGTTATTACATTTATGCTTGTCATTAGAGTAACTAATATGTAAAGTTTAAAGAGACTTACTTGTGTCAGCTTTTACTTTTTTAGATAGTCATTACAAAGCGAACAGTGAACATCTCCTCCTTGCCTGTCCACAAACTGCTGCATTTAGGAACAAGGACTCATCTGCAACAAAACCTCAAGCCCTCAAGTTCATGCACACATAACCTGATGTCATGCAGGATAAAAAATTATTTATCTCTTCTCCTTTAACAGTTTATAGAAATTTACATTATGTGATGGTATACTATACTTTATATATTCTGTAGGTAAAAAGTGAAAATTTTTTTGCATTTACACTGCCATATTGCTTTAACCAGTTATAAAGAAAATAAATCCAGTCACAACATAATTGTATGGAAGCTGAACAATCACGCAGAGCTATTTGGCATCCCTGCTTGCATTATGAATGCAGAATGAATACAGTGGCTTATATTATGCATTGCACTCAATTCAGGAGGCAGGAAACAATGCTAGTATGGTTAATAAATGCCACATTATTATGGCGTGTATAATGTATACAGCTTCTACATTATTCATTAAATATTTGTAGATTTTATATTTGTAATTCCCACATGATTCCAGTCACAAAGTAAGAATATCAGTTTCTATAACCTCAGATAAGTAATATGATCAGCTAATTACAACAGCATACCATAAACAGAGCCCGTGGAAGGTGATACTGCTTTGATTTACTAAAAAGAATATTGAATTAACATGGAGGATTCATTGTGTCTTGAAATGTTGGGTAATTTTTAGAAGTAGTCACCAGATAAAGTTCAACACATCTTTTGTTGAATATTACAAAGATGTTCACATAGTAGCAACTTCAGAAGGCTCATTCAATAGGGCATAGAATAAAGTTTGAAACTGAACTGGTCACAAAACTAGCCATTTTCAAACTAAGCCAATTGTGGAAAATGCATAGGCAGAGGTTACCTTCAGTGACAGCCACTTACCAAAAGCATCACATCTAAAAAAAAATAGGCAGATAAAATTTTCTTTTGAAACTTGACTTTTCCTATAAAAGTCAACCTTGGCCCCACTCATTCCTGGCTCCCAAGCCCCATTTTGGCTAAGAAGGTTGCTTAACACCATAAAAAAACAATAATTAGGTCTAGACAGCTCAGAGGGTGGGTTAAAATTATCTCATGTGCTCATATCTCTGGATCTGCTCATCATTTTGCATTTTTCACTGCAAGAAAACTGCTTATACCTGTATATCTTTTCATCATATCCTAGGTTAGCAGCACCTGGATTATTGACACTTTAACATTCAATTAACAAATATATTGTATTGTACTGGCTGCTTTGAATTGATAAAAGGTGAAATCTGATTAAATGAAACTTGATAAGTAACATAGCAACTGTTATAGGACCAATAGTTCCATGGAGTCCTAGTTCTGACTGTGATAAGGATATTCTTGTTTCTTTCCTTGAGAATAATATGTGATTTTATTTTTCTAGAAACCACTTTAATGCAACTCCTAGTTAAAATGCTTCTGTAACTGCTTCACTGTCTAGCAAAATGGACCAAAGAAAGAAATCAAAAATGGTTTGTGTTTTGTGAAATCTGTGAAATCTTGTGAAAAAGATTGCTAATTTAAATGTTTATGTCTCAGTGGAGTAATTATTGACTGCTATTAAAGCTAGGCTGTAAAGAAAAGAATTAATATAGCTGTACTGCTGTCAGTCTTTGCTCTGTTAAAGGGATAGGGTTGCTGAAGAATTTCCAACAACAAATCCATTGCTGAGCTTGTCAGATACACGGTCCTCATGGTGTGGTTGCTTTTGCCAACCCCTACTTCTCAACTGTGTCCTCCTGTAGTAATTTATGGGCTGGAGGAAATAACAACAGAGCAAAGGGGAGATGCTAGGTATCCAACACTCTCGGAATTATTAGATTCAGATGATTATTTGGCAAGCTTAGTTAGAGAGAGAAGATTGGCAGAATAGGCAGTGGGACAACTAGGTATTATTTCTCTTCTTTTCTTTGCAAAAATACCTTTTGCTACATTTTATAAATCTGGCAACTGGGTCCCCTTGAGCTGATGAACACAGGGTTAGCCATCAAAATGGCTGCCACTGTAGGTGAAAGATCAAATCTAGTAGACCATAAACATGAGATGACAGCCAAACTACTGTAAATAATGATCTCATATCTGTGTACAGACAACAATAAAAAAAAAAGACGTGATCCTACTCCATGGGTGTTCTCTGGGCGATCTCATGTCCACCTGCTGAAAACATTCAGGAGGCACATGATTGGATAAACCCGTCCCAAGTTATATCATGACAAGGGTAGAATATACCCCTTCCAACCTAACTAAGCCTGCTAGGCCATACCCTCCACCATCCCAGCTATACAAAATACACAAACAAGTTTCTGGAGTCAAAATGGCCATAGAAGCCTTTTATTAACCAATAAATTATGTTAACATAGATAACATAACATTCCAAATTATAAGCAGATGAAAACGTGGTTGTCTTGTGATGGCCATAAACCCAACTTCACTTTTGCGGAAAACATTCCTTCAGCTTAGGCCCCCAGTCGCAACTCACTGGCTTGGGGACAATCCTACTTATCCCCAGCCGCAACACACCGGCTCAGGGATAACCCTAATTATCTGCAGTGACCACAATTTTACCTATTCCGAGTTAACCCCTTGTTAACTGGAATGTACCGAGTTCCCCATACTACTGATGAGTCCTAAATCTGTCTCCATACAGAATTCATTCCTCCTCCAAAGACCAACCACCGCCAAGGCAGCCGTGACAATCCAAACCAAAGCACGAAGGGAAGGGAGGGTGGGAAGCTTCTTCTTCTTCTTCCAAACTTCCCCCACTGGACTTCCTGAGGACAGACCCTCCTTTTCCTCCCTGAGAGACCCTCCCCAACATCCCCCATCCAATAAGGTAAGCCTTAATCCCCAAAACTTCCTTCCCATAATTTAACCCTCTGTTGTCCTTCTATTCCCCCTAGTCATGTCGACCCCCTGCACTTATTTTTTTTTTTTTTGCTCTGGGCCTACCTTTCTTCAGTGAGATAACAGCAGTGTCTGCTCTTGCCACTCCCCTTCTACCTTCTGTGTCTAGAACCAACCCTCAAGATTTTGGAAAACTCTGCAGTAGTCAGAAGATTTTTTTCTGAAGGTTTTTGCATTGTGCCTACATGTCAGAATGCAAAAAAAAAAAATCTACTAGTACTAAATGAAAGGTTTTCCTTTGTCAAATTAAAACTTGTTTGGTATTTATTTAGCCTGACCCTGCTGGCAGCACAAAAATTTAACACAACTAAAAATTAATTATCAAAGCTGTAAAAATAACTAATTTATCACCACCTTAGGTGTCCTTGTCTTAAGCAAACTCAGCCCTTCAATTATAATTGTTTCCAGCAATGCTTTCTGCTGTCTCTTGGCTTTGGCCTTACAATAACTCTAACAATTATCACTTTTATTACTATGGCAGTGTTCATTATCAATTTATCTCTTAGATTGTAAGCTCTAATGAGCAGGGCCCTCTGAATCCTCCTGTATTAATTTGTATTGTAAATGTATTGTCTGCCCTATTGTTGTAAAGCGTAAACTGTTAGCGCTGTATAAATCCTGTATAATAACAATAATTTATCACACTGGTGTTTTTTTAAAATTTAATTTCTGTTACTATGTGCTTTTCATCCTGGGGACTCAAAGTGCTTAGAAGGTGAAACAGCCATCTTGACGCAGTCATCTAAGCCAATTAACCTATAGAAATACAAATTAAATTAAAGTGTAATAGCAAAACTTTTTTTGTCTTAGACAGAGTGGAGATGGTTTAGAACACCTATTAGGTTTTTATTGCTGTCTGTGCTCCCAGGGGTATTCACCCTCTCTACTTGTCCTGTTTACAATTATCATTGAAGATGAAAGTAAAGAAAACCCCACATTTTGGGTCATCCTCAAAAAAGTAATAGAAGGGAAATTTTCTCATGGGGACACTAGTTCTGTTGACCTGGCGGTATCCAGTGAATTCCCTTAATTTGTGGGGATTATCTCTCACTTTCTGTTTTGGGTATGGAACAGGAAGTGAAGGTAAATCTCCCCAATGGGATACAGATGGTAAAAATAAATTGACAGAAGTTTATAACCTTCTCTTAAAACTAAAAATTCTTCCTGCGCCAAGTGAAAAACACTACTACAGGATCTATCCTGCTGCTGTGCAATGTGATGAACACAAAACGTGATAAATATAAATAAACAGCGCAAACATAGACCTCTATATCAAGTGCAAACATATATAGAAAATTA